AATTTCTTGGCCAATCATTTCATTAGAAAAATAATTAAGCCAATAACCCATGACACTTATCTTCGATCATCGCTTAATGCTTGATGAAGACTAGTGTCCAATATTTGTCAGCTACCATTGTCCATCCTCTTAATCAACTTATCTCTTATTTTATTAAAGGAAAGATTAAGCTCAATGTTTACAATTACCTCATCTATAATGATATTTTTTTAATCATTGCTTGATATTGGCAGATAATTGATGTTCAAAATCCATTGGCAACTAATGTCAAAGACATGTCTTCTTAGCCCTTTAGTCCCATATTTACCATGACAATGATCAAATCAATTATCAAGCAGTGTCAAATTTTTAACATTTATTGTGGATTTTTCGATCGTCACTGATAACTAACTTTTGACATTATTTTTATCACCAACAATGGACACCAACCTTTTAGACTTCATGACATGCTCTATTGTTAAGAGAATTATCAAGTCAATCGCTCGCCAATATCTTATATTCAAAATTCTTGCCAAGCTTTATTTTTTTGTCTACCAACAAGCAACATTTGATTTTTGTCATGCATTAATATTTGATCTACCATCTAGTTCACTCAATCCAATTCCTTATTATGAAATTACTGCTTACTGATTAATTCTAAAATTTTATCTCACTCAAGGCATGAGTAATACGTGTATCTATCCATATGGAGGGGTAAACAATCATGTGCTTGACTATTGTTTCTCTTTTGGTATATTAAATCACTATCATGGGGTCTAACTAAATGAGCCAAGATGATTTGGATCGAGACCGGCTGAAAAAGTGTCTCTTGAGCTGGGCTCGATATGCTAACAAACAAAGCTCAAGCCACATCCCACTCAACTTGTTAGCTCTCGAGGTTGCTCATTTAAAAAAATAATAATATGAAATGTAATCAAAATCTATTAGATTTTAAGATTTTTTCTTTAAATTATTAAACATATTTCACATTTTATTACTTATATGTTATAATTACTTATTTTATTTATCATTTTATTATAACAATAGATTAAATTAATATTATTGTCTTTTTTTATAATAAACAAGCAGAGACTTACGAGTCAGCTCGAACTTGTAGACCTAAGCTTGAGCTCGAGCCCAAACTTAATTAATTAATTAATCAAGCTCAAGCTCAAGTCAATGCTCTCTCGAGCTCAACTCTACTTGTTTATACCCCTAAAGGGTATTTAAATATTATATGTATTGATAAATGTCTATATATATTATATTTTTGTAAGGCCTCATTACTACCATGTATAGTAATAGCTATCCCCAAGGTTAAACTAAAAATTTAAATAATGTTGGAGCAAATATATGAGCAAAATTTATGCTTTTAAGATTTATTTAAGTATTTTCTTAAGAAAATTTATAATGGTAAACACCATCCCAGATTACTGTGTTTCCAAAATGATTCCCAAACAGAGAGCTTCTGATAGCTTTTAAAAGAATAGTTATCATGGAAGCTAAAACATATTAATAGTTAATGTTTGAGTGCAACATTATTTTATGACATGTATGATTGGAATTTTATTATCACAATTTCACAAGTATTAGTGTTGCCATTGTTGTTCAATGTTTGGCATCCCCATCAATTATCATATGAAGCTTGCCAATGATAAAAATTTGTTATTTGAACCTCTTCTTTATTAGGAGAATGACCATACCGACCATCCGTTATCTCAATGATTGTCTTACATCTATCATGACATGATGCTTATCGATGATTGTCCATATCTATTAGCTGCTAAAACTAGACAATCATCTTCTTGGTCTCTCAGTCTCTCGTGTTTTTAATAAAGCAATGTCTTACATTAAATTTAGGGTTGCTTAAGTATTGCTAATGATTGTCGTCGCACATTCGTCGCTATTGATGTTTGGAGCCATGTTGGAAGGAGCATCAAAGTTTTCCACCACCAAGAAAATTGAATGATTGGCTAAAGCAATAACATTTGATGAAGTTGGAGTCCATAAAAGTTTGCTCTGTGAATTTAGATTTTCATTTACTCTTTTCAAGATATTTAATACTTTATTGTTAGTCTTTGCTTTGCGTTCAACTATTTTGTTGAAGTTTAGAGTGAAGATGTTGGTTATATTTGTAGACTCTAAATGATGAAAAGATTTCAAACTCATGTTATTTTCTTCAAGAATTTTCTTATAAACAATATTATATATTTTTTTTATCCCATACTTTAATTTAATTGTGTATGAGTTGTCTTTGAATTGAAGGTTTTCTATATATTTTTCTCGCAAGAACTTTGGCTTTGACCTATTGAGTTGGGACAATAAAATTATTGGTCATAGGTGTGTAAACGAGTCAAGTCGAGCTCGAGTCATGCCAAGATCAAGTTTGGCTCGTCTGTCAAATTTTGAGCTCGAGCTCGAGCTCGGCTGGCATTGGCAGCGGTCGGCTCACCGAAAAAGATATTGGTGGCCGGATGAACAAGAGGATTTAGCGGTATCATACTAGATAATGCATAAAAATGACTAATAATAGGCTAATCTAGTTGGCTCGCCAGCCAACAAACTGAGTTGAAATGAGCTCATCTATAATTTATTTTTAAATTATTCCTAACGAAAGCTCCAACTGCCGAACATTATCTCAGCAGTCATCTTCAGCATAGCCCAATAGACACTTTAGTCAGAATTAGAAGTACTTCTATATGCCATGAGGAGGTGAACAAAAATGTTTATGAACATGATGCACCTGTGAAAATGAAATAAGATATTTATTTATCTTATTTTGGGGGGCCACGTGCCGTTCCTATCATATTAGAAAGGGGTTGGATTGAATTCATTAATATTCGGGATTTCTATTTTAAATCGAAATCATTAAAATGACACATATTTAAGTGGTGTATGATAACATATTATTTATAATGTTTAATCACAAATTAAATTTAAATCCTATCAAATGTAAGAAAATAAATAAATATATTCAACGATCCGTTAAATCTAATTTTTTCGCATTTTTTTTTCTTCTTCTTCTCATGTTTTGTCATTTTTACAACGTAAATCCAGATTTAGTAAATCCGATTGCAAGTCGCATATATTGTATCGTCACTTGCGAGTACTTCTGTCGTAGTGCTGGTCTGATAAGTCTGAATTTATCGGATTTGATAAATCTTATTTAACATAAAACTAAGTTGAAGCCAAATGCCGCCTTAATCAAATGAGATACTGTTATAATTTTCAATAAAAAATAGCAAAAAATTAAATTTAAAAATACATTACAATTAGCTCATAATGCACTAATTTATGAATGACACCCTACAAAAAAAGCCTAAGAAAATCATTTTCATGAATGTGTAGATAAATACAATCCCCCTTCTCATAAATATTAATGATGCATTTACTTGGTACACAACTTGCTGGTACAATATGTCAAAGCACCATTCTTTCGATCATTTTCTTTATCAAAAACATTATCTTGTTGAATTATCCCCGGTAGATTACCCTTATTACCAACTGCGAAGTCATAACAAAATCTAAATTAAATTCTAATTTTATCAATCTTTCATCCACTTTCTTGGCTCATAATATGTTTTTTTCTTCAAATATCTAGCTCTATCTCAATCGCTCATTTCAAAGACACATCGAATGATCTTATCTTGCTCAGAGTTTGAGAAGACATTTGTATATACTTCCAAACATTCTAAGATATTCACATATTTTCTCTTCATCCGCTGAAAGTGTTTGAAATTCTTTTTTTCAACATTCTGAAATTTCTCAAACTCATTCTTAGAAATAATCTGCCTTGACTTGGATTTCTGAACAACCTGTGGAAAATAGGCCTCAACAACTGAAGATCTATCTGTAGGTGTATATTTAAGAAATTTCTTCGGATGTATACTCTACAATCTACAGCACGGGTATATTCCAGTTATCTATCCTCAGGCCATAATGATATTTCACCAAAATATACAAATATGGTTTACTATTGATTAGTATACATTCTAATGATTTGAAACTCATATGTATCATACCTTACAAGTACATATTTATTTAATTAGTTAAAAACCGAGCATAAATTCCATAGTTAACTAAAGTTAAATATGAGTTGCTCAACAAACTAACAAGAGAAACGTGAAGGGAAACCCCAATGTTGCGTAGAACCTATTTGAGGAACAATAAATAAATAAATAACTTCTATTAGAAAATGTAATATATTAGTCAAAAAAATAAAATGAAGAATCCTACAATTTCAAATTTACTCGAAAAAAAAATATATATATTCTGTAGCTAACAATTTATGGGTTCTTATATTAGCATATCTAACATTCTTATTTACATATTTCACATCACAAACTTCTAACGTAGCTATTAAGCTCCCAAATAGTTTCTAAGCTACAAAATCTACCCCCAATTATGCTCTGTCGTCAACACCCTGCATTTTTTTTTTTTTTTTGGCCACCCAGATTTGCCATGTGAGACATAAATAGGAATGTTTAAAGCAATACGTATGTAAGAACCCTAACAATTTATTGCACTCGATATCAGATAGAAGATATCGAGGTATGAGTTTTGTTTGGCCGTCTAATCATTCGGTTTTTTTTTCCTCTGCATCCGACGTCACATGCGAAACTTGGCCGGCTAATAGTTCACAATCACACACAGCCAAAAAATCAAAAAAAAAAAAAAAAAAAAAAAAAAAGGACAAAGACACTTCCATTCAATTACATTTTACCACCAAGAAAATAAAAAAAAAATTAAATGAATTTCGAAATAATGACAGATAGCCGATAGCCAAATAGAACAGAAAAGGCAGCGGATCAGCACAAAATCACACTTCAAAAACTTCAATAATCCAGAATACAGTAAAAATCCTGAAGAGCAAAATGGAATAATAGCCGTTTTCATGAAATGGACACACCACCTTTTTAATGACAAACGCTCTTTCATCATTTATGTAAAGCTATTCACTCACTCTTCAAACATGCCAAGTGGGATATATATGTGTGTGTGTGTGTGTGTGTGTGTGATACCGAGTAACATAGAGCCAGTGGTCATTAAATATTCTCAGATATCATAATCGATATCACTGACATTCTGAGATGACGAGCGCATGACCAACCGTCCATTTTCATCATAACGGTCAAGATTCTCGCAGGGAACGGGGAAAATGGATCCTATCACACGGCCGTCGACAAAAGAACACTGAAATATATGCTTCTTTTTGTAGGTAAGGCCAATTGATATGTCGTGGAAAGTAACATTTTGAACAGGGATCTTCTCACTGCCTTGGATTCGCACGGGGACACGCACGCTTTGGCCATGGATGCCATCATAGGTGATATTTGAAAGGACGGGGAGGGCATTGGGGTCGAAGTCATCGTCTGGGTGTTCGTTGTAGTCGGTTTTAATGACAATCCCGACACGAACATTGTCAAAGGTGATGTTATGGTAAGATATGTTCTTTACATAGCCACCCCTCCCAGGGGCAGTTTTTATCCGGACTCCTCGTCTTGAACCCCAAATGTGTGTATTTTCGACCGTAACATTGGAGATTCCACCAGACATTTCGCTTCCGATTGATACTCCCGCACTGCATATCATAAAAAGGATGATTTAGATGATGCAAAGGGGTGGGTTAGATAATGAATGAATGTTGAGTCTAAGATAATACAGGTAGGCCCAAAAAATGAAAATAATAATAATAATAATAATAATAGAGATGAATAGCTTGAAGGTTCTATGATTGACACCATGTTTGTTTAGTCGACTTTAAAAAAAAAAGATACAAACTATGAAAGTAATTATTAAAATATTAAAATTAATTGGATCAAAATATCGTTGTTTTGAATGAGATTACTAAAATAATTGAACTAGCTACTTACAAGTCTAAATGTGAGCGCTACTTAATGTGGTCGCTATAATAATGAATCTAGTAGAGAACACACTACTTCTGAAGAATGAAAGATTGGAATTTTTGGAATCATTTTTATCGTCTATTTTTTAAAATATATTTACTTCGTAAACTTTTCATATATTTTTATATTTTACTTAAAAAACACATCAGTTGTTCTTAAAATATTCGAACTAATTTTTAGATGTTAAATATTTCAAAAAACCACCATCACCACCTTTGGGTTTGCTATAATTGGTCAATGAGAGTTTTCCCAAGATAATTTCAGTGTCCAGTTCAAAAACGAGCCATTTCAGTATTTGAAGCATTCCAAACTCACTCACATGATAATGGGTTCGTCATTCATCATTACAGTTGTTCAATCACAGTTCATGTAGAATAGTTATGAAGGTTAGCATGGACAAGCAAAAGCTTTTTATCGAGCCATAATTTCCATTTTCTTAGACAAAAATAATATCAACTTCTAAATATTGTGTTAAACATTTTTGAAGATCTATAAAAATCATAAGACTCGCATCTATAATAATCCATGCATCTATAAAAATCATATGAAGTATTCAACATCAGAAGTTTTGAGAAAAAAATGCTAAGACTCGCATTGTTGGCAATGGTGAGAAGTATTTCAATAACAATTTTAAGGCCATGTACAGATGCAAAATTTGGGAAGGAGCATCTCACCTAACCAAAGAACGAATAATGACATTCCGAACTACAATATTGGTGGAAGATTGCCCATATTTGATTCCATACTGATCCCAGCCGCTCTTAATTGCTATTCCATCATCACCAACACTTATATAGCAATCCTCTATCACCACATTCTCACAAGAATCTGCAACCAAATACAACCAATGGAAATAGCTGTTACTCAAGTTTTTACAATTTGAATGTTATATATGAATAATAATGAATAAAAACGCTGTGACGTAAAATTTCTTTGATAGGCGGAGACTCTACAGATGAGCTTTTCTAATGATGCTTTACATATGGCCTTCAGAAATCAGTTGTATCAGTTGGCAAACCATTTTAAAAAGTCTATAACGTTGAGGAAGGCTTTTATGGCATTGGAAAAAAATAAAAAATAAAAAAATAATAATAATAAAGACTGGATTCACAGCCAAAAAAATAATAATAATAACAAAAAAGACTGGATCTGCCAAAAAATAAGAGATTGCCGCGCCATAAGAAAAGAAACAGCTAAGATTCTGGATCTGTCATTAAAAAAAGAGCTATCTGAGCACAAACAGGCCATAAAAAATGAGGAAAAGAAACTACAAAGCCAACAACCCACAAAAAAAAAAAAAATTACTGAATGTTTTCATAGCACGTACGAAAGAAAATTTTGAGTGTCTCATAAGGCAACTAACGTATCAACACCTACAGTTGCTATCATTATCCTAAATATAATTCCTGGTTAATTATCTTAGAATGCAGTTACAACAAATAAATCAAATTCATTTTATACCTCTTTTAAGAAGACAACAGAGCAAATTCAGCATCAAGATTATTTTACATCTATTCATGAAAAATAGTAATTCCCTCGGCTGCAGTTCTCTAAAATGAAAAGCTTTCACTAGTTGATACTGCTGTAAAAACGATAAACTAGGGGGGGGGGGGGGGGGGGGGGTGGGCCAAACTTTTACTCCCTCTAAACCCGTCAGTCCATCTCCACCACCAGCTGTTCATACAATTACTCTCAATTGTACAGATCAAAGATGAAGCCAGTTGTAAATAAATTAAATTTCTCAAAGAAAAAAGCAAATCTCTAAAACACATACAAATAGGGAAACCAAGACTGCTACAATAGTAGCATTCCCAACCATTAAGTAACAGATATGAAAACAATAGCTGAATCATTCATTGACATTGCATCATTCATGATCCCAATCTCGTTCAAGCTTCAAGAAATACAAAATACTACTGATAAAAAAAAACAAAGACTGGATTCACAGCCAATAATGAGGATTAAATAAATGACAATCATTGAAATATTCAAACGCTTGGAGTGACAGTTTACCTGGATCTATACCATCTGTGTTTGGAGCTTCAGAAATAGGAGCCAAAATTGTAACGTTTGAAATAGTTATATTCTTACAGTCATAAGGATGAAGAGTCCAGAATGGTGAATTCATAAGTGTTACGTTAGAAATCTTTATGTGCTTTGACCACATGAATTGTATAAGAGGACCTCTTGTGTAATTAAGACTTCTCCGGCGAAATTTTGTCCACCATGATTTGCCCTGCCCATCAATAGTACCATTGTGACCTGCAGAAAATATATGATAATGTTTAACAGCATAATTAGTATCTCATGTTTTCTTTGACCAAATGAAAAAGGGCTATTTCCCAAGGATAGAAAATGGAATGTGCATTTACATCATTACAGCTAAGACAGTTTTGCATGTTTGAAATTCAATGGGTTGAACACTTAGAAGCAACGCTGATCCAAAGTTCCCTCAAAAGAACTAGAGATATTCAGCAGGCTTCTTAGACAAATCTTCAAAATATAAAAATAACACCTTGTTCACATTAGCCTGAATTATTAAAACAAACTCTTGGATTCAATATTTATTAGAAATTCACAATTTAAAATGGTAAGATAACAAAATAAGAAGTTCTGCCAGAGTTCAATGCCCAAGCCACAACAAAAATACTCGAACAAGCTCCCCTGTGACCCGTACAAAGACCCTTGCCCTCACATTTTTCTAACCCTATTATGCCAAGTAATAAATCTAAAGCGTGTATATTAGGAAGCTTATTTATTAGGAAATTGATATTAAACAACCTAATTAGAGAAGATATACTTATATGAACTTTTCTGTTGTGAAAAACGACGGCAATAAAGCGAACAATCGGAACGAGAAAAATACACCAGAAAAAGGCGACACACAAATTTGTGTGGTTAGACAAATTGTCTACGTCCACGGAACTGCAACGGATTTTATTAGCTTGAGGATTACACAGTCGTCGATTCGAAGATTACAAAAAAATAATTATCTCCTCACTTTCTCTCTCCCTCTCCTGTCTCTCTCCTCTCTACCAAACCCACGTGAGAACAAAAAGAAAACAAGGCTTTGTTTTTTCCTTGCCAAGAAAATGAGGAAAGAGAAATAGCAATCTTTTTCTTCCTTTTGCTTTGCACGATTCAGCCGAGGAGGGATGATCGTGAGATTAATTCAGGCAGCCCTTTTATCAAGCCAAAAAATCCATTAAAGGAAATCAAGGAATGCAAGAAGAAGAAAACGCGGAGACCTTCACGCGGTTATGCGGTTCAGCGGAGAGAGACACAAGATTAGCAATTTAAGTGTGAATTAAACTTTCCTTAATTCATGAATATAGAAGAAGCAAGAGAGTCGGAGAGCAGAGAATAAAAGAAAGTTTATTAAACTTAATTATTGGTTTAATAACTTGCCTAAACAGCAGTGGACCTGGATCCACTTTCCTCAACATTTTTCTATATTAGATTTATTCCTGAGAGTGTGAATAAGAAAAGAGGAAGCTTTGCTTTTACATGATGTCAGAGCATCACCGAACTGTTTCGTCTGTGTTTGCTTCATTCGGTGTCATTTGTGTCAATAGAACGAATCGACAGTGTAATCTACATCTCTGATTTAGTTCAAAGACTTCGAACGACGACATAACTTTCTTTCTACATTTTCTACATTAACTCATCCATCCTATCTGTGTCTGCATCCCATCATCGTTCGTCTGCATCTACTTCGCCTGCCCTATCTGTGTTGATGAGACTAGGGCATTGACAAAGGCGACATTTGCTTTGACTAATCTCTCCGCTTCAGCCTGCTTCGTTCAATTTTTTTCTCGGTTGTTGCATTCATTATTTTTGTCTTTGCTAGTTCAACCTTGATGTTTTTTTTTAATTTATTTTTATTTATTATTATTATTATTCTTGGCTTTGCAAGTTCCTAAGTTTGATTTCTCTTTTATCTGGATAAAATGTTGATCATCGAGTTATTTGTCTCCTAGTGCTTTGACCGCTCGATCTTAGCATTAAATGGCATCAATTATGACCGATGAATAAAAACTTCTTCTGATATATTTGGTTTCATCAGTAGCTAAGATTATAGAAGAAAAGTTAAATGACATCAATTATTTTTTACTTGAATAAATTTGTGAGACTATTTAAGAAGTATTTCTCAAAAGAGTCGTCTCATTGATAATCCCATAGTTGAGACTGAGTCGAATTATTCTGAGTGGATGAGAGTTGATGCCCAACTATTGATATAAATACGGAACATCATCGAACCTGATCAATCCAGTCATATTATTCATTGCTGTGTTAAAGATTTGATGGAGGAATTAGCGTTTGTGCTTTCTAGGAGAAAATATTTCTCGAATCTTTGATGTATGTAAAGAGTTATATCGAACTGAACAATGAGACTAGTCACTCACACATATCGCATGGACTTTAAACGTGTGTGTGGAGAATTTAACGCACTATTGCCCTTCAATACTGATGTTTGGATTGAATAGGCTCAAAGAGAACAAATAACTATTATGGGTTTAATAGTTGGCCCTAACTCTCAGTATGAAGGTGTTAAATCACAGAATATATATGTCCCTAGATGTACTACTCTGATGGAACCTATAATAGAGTACTGTGTATAATCCCAAGTTCTCAAGTCTTATTCGCAGAACAACCTAGTGCTCCTGCTAGTCAGAAAAAAATATAGACATCAGTAAACAACAGTCGCAAGATAATTATAGAAGTGGAACTCTGAATTCTAAAAATCAAAGGTTGAAGGTAGTGTGCAAGTATTATCATGAACTTGTTTATGCAAAGAGAATGTGTAGAAGTTGCTTAAAAAAAAACCAAAAGGGTTCTGAATCAGAGTCAAGCTCACATGGTCACTACTAATGAGGCCTCTCAGAGCCAGAGTGTAAGAAAAATACAAACATCGGTAAACTTCAGTCTCAGGACAATTATAGAAGTGGAACTTCGAACTCTAAAAAATCAAAAGTCAAAGGTAGGTGTGCAATTATTGTCGCAAACCTATTCATATGAAGAGAATGTGTCAGAAGTTGCTAAAATGAACCAAAAGGGTTTCTAAATCACAGTCAGCTCATATGGTCACTACTAATGAGGTCTCTCTGAGTCAGTCTCTCAATCTCTACAGATGAAAATGCTAAGTTTTTCAAATTTCAGGAAGCATCCAAGAAATCCTCAGTGATTACATCCCTTGTTGTATCAAATAAATGTGCCTAAGCAGTTGGTCGATGCAACGTCTACCCCATGTTTTTTGATCAAGCATATGCTTTTTACAGTTCTACAGAACCATACACTATATCAAGTTCTACTTCAAATTAACTCTCTTTTCTATTGAATCACACATATTTGGGTGTACTTAAGTTGTCTGTGATATTTGTCCATAAGCTTCTAAACTTGACCCTAAGTCATTAAGGTATGCCTTTCTAGGATCAGGGGTGTGAACGATTTGATTTCGAGCCTATTCAGGGCTGGCTCGAAATTGGATTGAAATATTTTTAAACGGATCGAAATCGGATCGTGGATCGATCCAGTAAATTTTGATCTGATCCAGTGTGGATTGATCCGATTTTCGAGCCAACTCGAATTATAAACGAGTCGATTTGAATTGTAAACAAGCTGGCTCGAATGTCATTTTTTGGCTCATGAGCCAGATCGGTTTGATTGAATCCTCCTTGGCCCGCCCGCCCGACCCACCAGAAAAAAAATGCATTTTTCTTATGAAAATAAAGGATTTGAACTCCTGCCACTACGACCAAGCAAAAAGGACCTCACCAACAGTGTTGGCAATGCATTATGCATGTAAAACTAAAAATATAGGTGCTATATGTGTAAATACATAAGAATTTATTTTGATCTAGATCCAAGCCAAGGATGGATTGAAATCTGATCGAAATAAATTCGATCCTTTAATTTGGCTCGTAGCTTGGCTCAAACGATCCAATCCGAGCTAAAATTTGATCTTATTTTCGAGCGAATCATGATCTTCAAGCCAATTTCATAGCCCTTTCAAGGATATTCTCGCATAAAGAAGGGCATCGATATTTTTCCACTCTAAAACAGTTACATGATTTCTATTGATGTCACATTTCATGAACAAACTTTATTCTTTGAAGACTTATTGGTGTTTAAATCCTCACAAGATTTTGATGATTTATTAATGTCTCACATCATAAGTTCAGATACTGCTCTAGCTCTCATGCCTCAAATCTAGGCCATCTATCACTAATGTTTAATCAAGTAGACCTCATCCCCTTGAAGCTAGTTTGAGACTAGTATCATCTTCCTCAGTGGATCATCTTCCCAATTTGATTTTGGTGAATGTGAATGTGTTTATGCCAATTTCTCTTATGTTAATTATAATCATTTATCTTTCACTTCTTGCTTTTTTGTTGTTGCACCTAACTCTATTGAGGTTCCAAGATCTGTTCGACAAGCCTTATCCCGTTCTGGGTGGTGGGCACTGAGCAACAATGCTTGATGAGATAAATGCTTTAACTGAAAAATGAAACTTGAAAATTAGTTGATTTGCTTTCTGATAAGAAAGCTGTAGGATGAAAGTGAGTTTTTCCAGTTAAGTTTCATTTTGACTGACATAAAGCTCATTTCAATGCTCGGTGGCTAAGGGCTATGATAAAACTTATGGGATCGACAATGTGAACGCATTCTCTCTGGTAACTAAGTTGACTTTGGTTTGCCTACATCTATCCTTGATCGTAATGAATAATTGACCCTGCACCAGTTGGATGTAAATAATTTTTTCTGCATGGTGATCTTTTAGAAGAGGTATAAATGGAGCAACATCCTGAGTTAGTTGCTCGGGGAGAGTCTGGAAAAGTATATCGTCTTTGAAAGTCCTTATATGGATTGAAAAACCCCTCAAGCATGGTTTGAAAAATTTTGCCAAGCAGTAGAAGGGTTTGTGATACAAAAAAGTAAAAATGGTCACATTGTATTCTATAAGCAATCTGCTTCAAATATCATTCTATAGGTGATTTATGTTGACGACGTTATTACTTTTGAAAGCGATGAGTACTGATTCTTATAATAGAAATCATTTCTTCAAAATCAATTCAACATTAAAGATTTGGGTTCCTTGAAGTCCTTCTTGGGGATTGAGGTATCAAGAATTAGGGAAAATCTTCATAATGGCCCTTAATGGAGCTAGCGTCATTTATATAACCAACTGACTAATAAATATATATGCTCCAGCTTGAGAGGTAGTGTTATAGAAAGTAATAAACCTGAACTGTTTATATTAG